ATTCACGATAAGCTCTTCTTGTTTGCAATAGTCCAAAAAGGCATTGACAGTAGACCTCAGTCCAACTTCAGATGTTGCCAGCAAAACAGCATCGTCAGCATAAAGTAAAAGTGGTATAGGAAGACCAGCTAAATACGGAGGATGTCTGGCTCTCATTTTAAGAAACGGCACCAAATCATTAATATAGATGTTAAACAGGCAGGGGGCCAACAAACATCCCTGTCTAACTCCCTTCTGCACTGGAAAGGAGTCTGTCCTGACTCCTGAAGAATTCACTCGAACCGAGGCAGATGTTTTAGAATAGAGAGCCATAATCAATCCCAGTAGTCTGCGGTCAATATTGGTGTTCAATAACTTCTCCCACAATCTGCGACGAGAGATGGAGTCGAAGGCAGCCCTCAAATCCATGAAGGCCGCATAGAGACAACCTCTTGGACGCAAGGAATACTTGCTGGCAAGATGGAGAAGCGTCAGACAATGGTCTGTAGTAGCGACACCCTGTCGAAAGCCACACTGTTCAGGAAAAAGGAACCTCTCTTCATCAAGCCATTTCTGGAGTCTCTCCTGAAGGAGTGCAGAGTAGATCTTCCCAGGGGTAGCAATAAGGCTAATCGGTCTATAATTCCCTGGGTCGTTGGTATCCCCACCTTTGTGGATAGGTACCACAGTAGCTGTCTTCCAAATATCGGGGATATTAGCTGACTTGTTGATATCCGAAAACAGGTGGGCCAAGCGATGAGCCCACCATTCGGGATTCACCAAAAATAGTTCTAGAGGTATAAAATCCGGGCCCACCGCTTTGCCACGCTTCATCTGATTAAAACGTTCAAGTACTGACTCTGGAGAGACCCGCTCCCAGTCCGGAGCAGAGATCAACACCTCATCAATTTCCTTCTCATCGACAGGGCATTCTGAGGATTGGTACAAAGCTGCAAAATGCACCCTCCATCTGGCTGGGGAAATTGTTGTCACGATGTCAGCCTGACGTCCTGGTCTAACAAGCCTCCAAAAGGCCTTCACATCCCTGGACTCCAAGATGGTAGCACGATAAAAGTGTAGGTTTTATAAAAGCTTTGAGAGGTGAGACCCACTTTGGAATTTTATCATAGTGGGTTCCTTTTACATCTTTCCAGATTTTTATCGATGCCCGTCTTATCATGTGCTGGTGATAGTTTGTATGTATGCTACCTTTATCGTACCATATATAAGTACGCCAACCCATAGTTAAATCGTGACCTTTTAACTTTAAACATCTTGAATTCTCTAGAGTTATCCAATCTTTTATCCATAGTAGGGATGCTGATTTATACTATAGTGTGCAATTGGGTAAAGTGAAACCTCCCCTTTCCTTCTTATCTTGTAGTAATTTCAGTTTGATTCTAGATTTTTTCAATTGCCAAATAAATTGAGCAATGATCTTATCTAAGTCTTTAAAATATTGTTTCTTTTAAAGGATCGGTATATTTTGAGCAAGAAATAAAAACCATGGCAGGATATTCGTTTTAATCGTTGCAATTCTCCCCGTGAAGGATAATTGTAAGTCCTTCCATTTTGTCAAATCTTTTTTAATATCTATAAGCAGCTTCTTATAGTTGTCATCTAGTATGGAACTACATCTATTAGTTAGAACTATTCCTAAGTATTTAATTTTTTTTTTGTACTTCTATAGAAGCAATTTCTTGAAGCGGCTGTATCTGGTTATAGTACAGTTTTTAGTCAATATGCTTGTATTTTTGAGATTAATTTTCAAACCTGCCACTTGTCCATAATCTTGAAATTTACTAATAAGATGAGTAGTGGAAGTTAGTGGATCTTCTAAAATAAGTTGTATCAGATTTGAGTAGAAAACCATGAAAAAGGCTTCCATTGAAACCAATGGGAAATAATAAAATAGAATTGTGAAAATGAAACAACAATAAGAAAAGAATAACAAAACAAAACCTTACAAAACAACATAATAACAAAACAGTTACTCCTGGAATTAATAATGAAAACAAGGATCTTAATAAAAGACATAGCTGAAACAAGGATTTTATTTATGACACTTCCTGGTAGGGCTGCCGTATCTGAAATTTAAGGGAAGCACAATCTGCATCTTAGTATAAGCATGACTTTTTGTTCCTCTTTACAATTTTGCACAAAGCTGTGGATGTATTCCTGGAGCAAAAGTATTCATTTTTTGAAGGGAATTTACACCTGCTACAAATTTAAGCTGGTGAACCAAGAGGGAAATGGAGGCAGTGGAGTCAGGGAAGACTTTAAGGGCTTGTTTCCCCCCTCCTTCCCCTTCTCTGGGATAGGGAAGGGAGAACACACACTTCTAATGTGCACTAATTGGCACAAACTTCTGAAAGCCCTGCAGAAAATAGAAACTTAGTAGCAGCCATCTCTCAGTTCAGCCCCCTCTCTTCCTATTCATATACACATAACATTTACCCTCATCTCAGTTTCGTTCCCACTGTATAGAAAGCTTTTCTATATCACTCACAATGAAAGATTCCTCATCTTGCTATAGGCCAGCGGTACGCAGAAGATCACTAGAAAGTAATGAGCAAATCCCTCAAGCAATTAAAAGCAGCTCTGCCCCTTTTTCAGTGCTGCTGTAATCACTTCCTTATGCTCTCCTTTAAATCTACCACAGCAGCTTCTTCTTTCATGCAATGGAGAAGGAGGCCCAGCCACACACCTTTTCTCTGCATGGGAAAATGATAACACCAGAAGTTTCCCATTCACCCCTCCTTTTTCACACAGGCATCCTTGCTCTGGAGGGGAAGGAGTGTCCCATTAACTCCTTCTCCCCACATCAAGTCTCCTATTTGCCTTTTCTAGGGAGAACATGAAGGAACTGTATACTTTCCCCTTGCAGGGTAAGTTACAGTTTGGGGTGGTGGTGGTGGTTTACTTTGAGAAAACAGCAGGTGAAAGGTTTCACACCTGAGCTCTCTGAACCTGCTCTGAAACACTGTAACATTTGTGCAAGCTGCCATTTTCTGAATGGCTCCACCTGCAAAGTAGGGAGATTTGGTTTCCCACTATACTGTGAGAGACCTTCAGCCTCTAGAGGGAAAAGGTGTCATTGGGGCACTGAGTGATGTCTGGCCCCACCCTCAAAAGCTCCCAGGGGGTTGCCAGCCCCTGGCTGTCTGCTACTACCACCAGTCCACCATTTTGTGGTCAGTAGCTCCCAAAGCTCTTGGGGGGAAATTAAGTAGCTCCCAGAAATTTAAAGTCTGCCCTCCTCTGCTATAAGTAATCAGACTCAGTGAGAGTATTAAAAAATCATCTCCTTTTGCTGAGTGGTCTTTGAAGTTGATTGCACTTGCCATACTTGTATAGCAAATATGCCTGCTTTCAGTGCAAGCAAGGCCTGGGCCAGGACAAAAGAGAGTGTCTACTGCTGGTGACACAAAAGTCATATATTTGAGCCCAGGCATAGCACCAGTAAAATTGTAGGATGATGTTTGTCTTCCCACATTGTCCTCCTCAATGATTAATTAATTGACAGAGGGTCTGTATTTTAAAATGCATCATGCTTCTTTAAAATGAGCCAACTTTTTTCTAACCTAACTGCTCCACCATTGATCACTATAGAGATTTTGATCAGGCAGCCCTGACTGTAGCAGTCTTCAGGTACTTGTCACATCTCTGATCTCTGTACTTCTTCATACCACCCTCCCAAGTGAAATATCAGCTAATGCAAAATCCTGTAATCAAATAGTATTGTTCTTTGGGCATAAAATTCTACAAGGTTGCCTGAAAAACTAAAGATATGTGGAACACAGAGATCTCTAGATTTTAAAATATAGAAAGTGCCCCCCCTGGTATTACCAAATTCCTTTAATATAAAAACTACAAAAAATTATTCCCAACCAGAGATTCTCAGTGGAATTTGGAATCTGGAAGAAAAATGCACTAACCTATAGAAATGGCAGTTCCACCCAAACCAACCTTCTTATGCTTAAAATGTCCTCCTCTAAGAAATCAAACCTTTTTAAAAAGGTACCCTCCACTCTGTAGTCAAACTTACATTCACCCCTACCAATGCCATCATCTATGTCTGATCATTTCTCTAGTTTGGCATTTATCCTGGTGTCGGAACCTCTCGTTTTCTCTGTTTGAACCTGTTTATGTCTCCCTATTTCCACAGCTGCCCAGATTAGAAGTTTATACCTTCTACTACCTCCCCTGCAACCACAATTCCCAGGAGTCCTTGCAGCACCACAGAGCAATCAGATGGCTCACAACGCACTGAAGGGGATCATTCTCCCAGAGCCCTGGAGTGCACTTTTTAATGGTAGTTGAAAACTATGGCTCAATCTGCATTTGCTATGTAAAGCTGTTCCGTGCTGCTGTGGTGCCGGCTTCCCATTTGGCTCAGCATAAAGCTCTCCTCTGTCTGCATCAGGACACAAGTTGTTTAGGGAGAGCATACGAGAGGGGGGAGAAGCATCCTCCCAGGGGCACCGGCATGGCCCTGCACTGCAGGGAGAAAATGGCACCTGTGACCCTCCCCCCCCGAAAGTAAAAGGGGGTGACCTGGCAGAGAGGGAGGTGGGGGGGGGCAGGAAAGATGGAATGAGCTGGGTAAAAAGCACAAAACACCCAGCAGTTGCCAGGAAGGGTATTCTGGAGACTGCCCCAGGAAATAACAAATGATTTAGGGGTGGGTGTGCTTCCAACCCTCCCCCAAATATGATCGCAGAAAAATGTTCCCTGGCTGCTTTTAAATACAGACGACTGGATTTTCAGCTAACTTGTTTCTCCCCTAAGACAAGTTGCATATCTCCTTAGAAAAAGTTGGGGGGGGGGGGAGAGAATTCAGCTCCAGTTGTCTACTTTTTGCTCGACGGTCGGGAGGAACAGTTGTACCACATTAAAACCACATTCAGATAAGGCGGTGAGACACCATACTGACCTCGGAGTCACTACTAAATGGCAATAAAATGATGCAGACAACTGATGCTGAGATGAAACAATAGGAGAGTGGATGCAGCATGAAATGCAGACAGAAATTTGTGAGACAATGTGAGATCATTGGCACAATAGTGGGAAATACCAATGCAGATCGAACCTATAGTTCCTAACTCCACTGCCTCAAAGTGTTCAAACATGGAACATTTTATCAATTCATCCAGAATTATATGGAGTTCTAGCTTTGAAATAGTGAGCCCATAAAATATGGGGCTCTGGCAATCCTACTGCCAGAGAAGGAGAGTCAGGCACAATCATTTTTCATCTTCTGTCTTCTGCTTTTCTTTAACTCCAGCAGCAACAACAGCAAAAAAAATATCTGGGAAGAATGTGCGAATGTAAACTGCAGCCTTTGCAATAGGATTTGCCATGAACACTTCCTGTTTCTTCCTGCTCACTGTTCGTAAAATTTCTTCTGCTACCTCCTCTGGGTGGACACCATATGCCAGTTTTCTGGAAAAGACTGAGAATCAGAAAGAGGGGAAAGCATCAAAGCAACTTCCACTACTGTCTTGCATGTCATTGCATTTCCTGAACTGTGTAAAAATGGATCTTAGTCAGCTTTAGGTCTAGAAATTTTATAAAGGAAAAAAAAATTAAAAAGGAAAATGACATTGCTGAATGTGTTGCAGACTGTTTCAAGGAAAACAGATTTTTTTTAAAATTAGAAAACTTCTTGAAATGATGGGAAATTATTGCATGGCACTATTGCAATAGTGCCCTATCTGTAAGCCGCCCTGAGCCCTTGTGGGGAGGGCGGGGTATAAATTTAATAATAAATAAATAAATAAATAATGGAAGAGGCGGAAAGGTTTTGTCCCTTTCTTCCTCTTAACTCCCACCTCCCATCCTGTGCAGCTATTACTCAGTGTGGGTCCTGCAACCATGGGAATCAACTTTCCTGCAGCTAGAAATGACTGATGTGGGGAAGTGAAAGAGGGGAACATTCACTACGATCTGTTCCTTCTGCTGATGAGATCATGGTCAGTATTTTGAGGAGATCCTAGCAACACCCATAACCAATGCCAGGGGGTCTACAAAAATACATTGCTAGACAAAGGCCCTATATGCATGTCCATTTCCTTCACTTTCACTGTGCAACACCATCAGACTTTTTTCTCCCCTTCTCCATTCCCTCACGCATTCCAATCACATTTTGTTTTTCTTTCTGCATTGATTTAATGGCTCCCCCACCCACAGAGCCGACCAGCATCTGTAAGGGGGGCACCTTTGCCTCACCTGGGAGGAGGAGGCAGTGATGTGGGTTGGGCTGGTGCTCTAGTCAAATGATGAAGGTGAAGACCTGACCCTGAAAGCAATCTTGGTCCGGTTAGATGCCTTGGAACGTGACAAGTAGGGGCCTCCAACCCCTGCTAAGGTGGCCAAGGCTTGGCAGCAAATGAGGATGGTGGCTAATAAACGGTTGCTTGAGACAATACTAACCCATTTGTCAGCTTTGGAGAGCAGGGGCACTGATGGTGCCGGCACTTCAAAGCAGATGGTGGACCAGCCACCACAGGATGTGGTGCCTGAGCCCGAAGGAATGATGCAGAGAAAGCAGCCTAGCTGGAGCACAGGGTCATTGCCAGCCAACTTGGTGAGAGATGGAGATAAGACTGGCCACGTTGCAGCTGTGGGTAGGTTGTGATCTGGGGGGGGTCAGGGGCAAGACCATGACCCCCCACCCCCTGGCTGCAGGGGGGCTGGGTATGAGTACCAGGAATGGCAGGATATGATTACGACAGTTATGGACAGTTCTGCCTGAATCTTGGATGGAAGCAACTATCTCACTGGTATATAAAGAAGAAATGGATCCAAAAGAAGTTAAGAATAATCAACCTATATCCTTGCTTAACTGTGATTATAAAATTTTTGCATCAGTTTTAGCTATGAAATTGAAAAAAGTATTATCAGAACTTATACATCAAGACCAAACAGGATTTTTTTTTACCAAAAAGGTAATTAGGGAACAATGTTAGAATGGTTTTAAATATACTAGAATACTATGAAGCACACCCTGAGAAACAGATGGCTTTAGTATTTTTGGGTGCTGAAAAAGCCTTTGATAATGATAGTTGGCAATTTCTTATTGAACAAATGAAGGAAATGAAATTTGGGTCTGATTTTATAGGAGTAGTTGAAGCTGTTTATACTAAACAGAAAGTTAGGATAACTGTAAATGGTGACTTGACAGATATTATTTGGATTGAGAAAGGGACAAGACAAGGATGTCCTTTGTCGCCACTTTTATTTATTTTATTAACTTTGGAAGTTCTGACAAGAGCTATTAGAAAAGACTGCAATCAAAGGAGCCTCAGTTAAGGGTCATAAGTATAAGTTACAGGCATTTGCAGATGACTTAGTATTTATCTTGGAAGACCCAGTAGACTCTATAGAACATTTGCTGAACAATATTAAAGAGTATAGAGAAATGGCTGGGATGAAAATAAGCTATCAAAAGACAAAGGTTATAACAAAGAATATGACTTCTAATAAAAAATGGAGTTAATTAATTTAACAGGTTTTCAGCTGGAGAAAGGAGTTAAATATTTGGGAATATGCTTAACTCCAAAGTGTAGTTCTTTGATGAAGGATAACTATCTGAAATTGCTCCAAGAAGTTAAGATCTAGAAAGATGGAAAGGTCTTCATTTATCCTGGATGGGAAAGATTGCAGCTGGTAAGCTCCCCTTCACTGGCAGCTTTCAAGAAGAGGCCGGATGAAAATTTGTCAAAAATGCTTTAGGCTGGTCCTGCATTGGGAAGGGGGTTGGACTAGATGGTCTGTATGGCCCCTTCCAACTCTATGATTCTATGTTAAAATGAACATATTGCCATGTATTATTTTTATACCAGACTATTCCTGTTTGTATTAATTGTTCTTTTTTTTTGGAAGGTATGAATAAGCTAATGTCTAATTTTATTTGTCAGACTGGAAGATCTATCATAAAGTGTCTTGCTTGGTTTGGATGAGAGATTGGACACTGCTTGAAAATCGAAGACTTTTAGCCCTAGAAGGACATGATTTAAAGATAAGGTGGCATGCTTTTGTTTGGTATGGGAAGTGGCTGGACATAAATATTTTAAAAATCATTTGATAAGAAAATCCTTATTAACAACTCGGGGAAAAATCCTACCTTAGGTATATTCTAAAATTCCAAGATGGGTCTCACCCATTGAAGCCTTTTCACAACCAAGTTTAATTTCATTAGACAAAATTCATAGATATGAAGATCTTTTAGATGATAAAGGATTTCTAAAAACAAAGGAAGAATTAATAAGGTAAGGGGTCAGTCTGGACTGGTGGGCAAGGGCTCAAATTGAATCTAGATGCACTAAAGATAGAAAATTTGGTCTTTATTCCAAACAATGTGCATTTGAAAAGTTGTTATGTACATCCAATGATAAGTTGATCAAGAAAATGTATGTATTTTTAATGCAAATGAAAATAGATGATGAAGTGGTTAAAGACTATATGGTGCAATGGATGCAAAATCTAGGCTATAATATTGATCTTACACAGTGGAGTAAACTATGGAAAGTGAATGTGAAAATAACTAAATTGATGGCATTTAAAGAGAATCTGTATAAGATGTTTTACAGATGGTATCTAACACCAGACAGATTAGCTAAAATGTACAAAAATACATTGAATAGTTGCTGGAAGTGTAAAAAACACGTGGGTACATTCTACCATATATGGTGGACATGTGATATAGTGTGTAAGTTTTGGGTTATGGTACATACTTTTATACAGACAGTTTTGCAGACTTCAATACCTTTTCGACCAGAATTGTTTCTATTGAATTGTATACCAGATGACTTTCATAAAAATCAAAGATATTTTATAATTCATGTAGTAACCGCAGCTAGAATTTTATTTGCATCCTTCTGGAAACTTCCATCAATACCTTCTGAACATGACCTAATAGTGAAGATTATGGAAACTGTGGAAATGGACAAATTGACTTCAATGTTAAAAGGTCAAATGGAAGAAGATTTGGTTGGATTATGGACTCCATTTTATAATTGGATAAGGATGAAATAAAAAATATGAACTATTTAATACTATAATATCAAGAAGCTTTTATTAACTTTTAAAACCTCATAGTCTATCTCTGTATAATATGAAATGATAAGTAGGGAAAAGTCATATGAAGAAATTGTATTATTTTTTCCCCTTCCCCTGCCCCTTTCCCACCTTTGTGTGCTCTAAAAAGTTAATAAAACTTACTTCAAAAGAAAACAAAGGGGAAAACTGTAAAGGAGGCTTCATTGATTAGCTGATGTGAGGACAGGTGTAGGGTTGAAGCAGAAGGCTCTGGCCTCCAAGGCTGACTCCCTTCCCAGCTGATGCTACTGGAAACAATGGTCTATTGTGCACAGGTGTTTTCCCTCACTTTCACTGTGCAGTCCGTTGGGTTCTATTTTTAATTCTACACTGATTCCCCCCCCCCTTCAGCACTCAGTTTGCTTTCTGGTCACTGTTTTCTCAGGTTTTCTGAGAGTGGTTTTGTGCTGATTTTTCCGTTGCTTCACTTTATGAACGGAAGGTAATTCAAAAGCATACAGATTCCCTTGGATTCCACCCCCCTTGCTGCCCCTCCATTGAGACAACTGTCCATTTATTCCTACTCTGCTTGCTGCCCCTCAAAGGTCACTCCCCTGCCTACATGGAGGTTGTTTCACCCACTCTCCCTCTTCCACCATGTCCAAGCTTCACGCTTTCCCTCATTGTTTTACTTTTTTTATACAAGCAGCATGAATCTAGCAAAATGAGATTATTGCTGGACTCAGATCTCTGGGGGGAAATTACAGGGAACAACATGCTTCTCTGGCAGCTCTCTGAGAAGCCTCTTCACAAGTTCTGAAGGGGAGGGGGGAGGGAAAGACTGGCTGCTGTTTCCTGTAAATGTCAGCATCTTGAAGGATGACATCACTTCCATCTCTACATATAGCTTGGCAAAAATCTAAAGCATCAGTAAGATTTCTGAGGCTTATCTTAGAGTGATGTTGATGCATTGATGTTGATGCATTGATGTCATCTTTTTTCTCCATGCCCTGTCCCCAAAGTCTCCTGAGAGTTACAAACATGCACCTGGCAACCCTAGCACTGCCCATTATGTCTAATTTCACCTTCTCAGCTGCACTGGCCTACTGAAATCAACTTTTCTCCCATTCCTTCCATCCTCACCCATTTCTCTCATCTCTACAAAATGTTTTATGTAGATCTTACATTTCCATATAGAAGAATCTGATTTGCTCGGCTGTGGTTGAACGTGGTATGAGCGTATGAAACTTGGAGTCACGGCACTGACACACACACCAAATTCTTGCAACTCAGCTCTCAAGCAGTCAAAGAATCCCAGTGCAGCATGCTTTGAAGCAGCGTCTAAGAATAAAGAAAATGGCATCATAAAATGAAAAGAGAAAAAAGACATTAACAGTTTCCTATCTCAGCTTTTCTGATATTTGGGCTCAGCACTGACCTTCCTTTTTTCTTTTTCTTTTGGTGTCAGATAAGAGCTAACATGGTGACTCCATGGGTTTTCAAGGCATCAGGCCTGATTTACCATTTCCTGCCTCTTTGTCAGGATCCTGGCATTCCTTGATGGTCTCCTTTCCAAATACTGACAAGGGCTGACCCTGCTTAGCTTCTGAGATCTGACGAGATCAGGCTAGCCTGGGTTTTCCATTTACAACAAGTTAAAAACCATGATTACTAGAAATCCCTTCTTTTACATTACAGTTCCAGCTCACATGCCATATAATAAAATGGATGTCCTTCTTTTTGGAGGAAATGAGCTGCATGTTGTAGTAGTCTAGCCTTGAAATTACTGTAGCGTGCATCAGTGTGACCAGATTGTCTGAATCCAGGAAAGGCCACAGCTTCCAAGCCATATGTAACTACAACAACAAAAAGGTGTTCCGAGCAGCAATGCCGGCTTGTTTCTCTTACAATAAAGCTGAGTACAGGAATATTCTTGGGCTCTTAACTGAAGCCACCAATCTCAAGGCTACCCTATCGAAAAGTGGCAGAGCAATATCTCCATAGCATCTATTTTTCTGACCGACATCACCTTCATTTGGTATAGAGCCAGCTTGGTCTCCTTAAGCCACCTGCCCACCACTTGCAGTGTCCAAGAACTGAGACAGCAACTTTATACAGATAATAAACTTTATATAGATAATACACTTTGTTGTTGTTGTTACATATGGCTTGGAAGCTGTGGCCTTTCCTGGATTCAGACAATCTGGTCACACTGATGCATTCTACAGTAATTTCAAGGCTAGACTATTACAACATACTTTATGTAGGGCTTTCCTTGAAGAAAACTCAAAAACTTCAAGTTAGTGCAAAAAGCAGCAGGCCAGTCATTGACTGGAAAAAGTAAGCACAGATATATCATTGGTGTTTTAGAACATCTGCCTTGGCAGTCAGTTTTTTTCTCAGCTTCATTTCAAGGTGCCGTTTTTTTCTTTTAAAGCCTTATATGGCCCAGGACCCACATATCTACTGGACTGCCACTCTTGTTATGAGCCGACGAAAGTGCTCTACTCCTCCCAGAATAAAATTCATTGTTTCAGAAAGGAATCAGCACATCACTGTTGTATTACAAACATGCTTGCTCCAAGACTTGTTGAAAAGTTACATATTTCTATATGGAAGGCAGAAACATTGCTAGCCCACTAGTAACTATTTTAAAAGGTAAAAACATGTGATACCACCACTGCATTTACAAATTTTATTTGTGAAACTGCAGTTGTATGATTTTAAATTGCTTTATAGTCAGAGAAGATTATTGGTTGTTGTTGACACATAATCTGGGGTCTTGATGGGAGTCTGACATGCGGTGCTCGTGCAGAGATTAAGCAGTAGCAAATGTAATTGATATAGTAACGGACTTTGTATAAAATGTTGACCTGAAATGGGAGGGTTTAAGATATTCTGTAATAAGTAAGTTTTGTGACAATTTTATTTTGATTATAGACTAATGCTTTGATCTGAAGAAGACTATGTAGAACAGAGGAGAATAAGAAATCCGGAAACCTCTTTATCAACGTGATTTGTTTGAATAAACATCAACATAATTTGTTTGAGTAAATTTACAATTTCCACTTCATATTCTCACCCTTGATTCCAGTCATCCTTTGGTGGATCCTTTTGGATCTTTTGCATGAACTTATGCATTCTACAGTGTCTGAGCTTTTTATGTACTTAGACTGAAGGGCTTTGCTCTCATACTTAACTGGGTTATCCCATGGATGTTTTCTCTTTTTCTTATTCTGTTTTTGGGTTCCTGTGGGACTTGGTTTATATAGCTAGAATGGGGAAGGCAAGACACTGAGGCAAGATGCTACAATGTCATATAGTGGCAGGTAATTCAAGCAATTAAGTCCTGGTATACTGAAAAGAAGATTCTATTGCCTTACATGAATGTTAGCAATTAGGGATGGACACTTACCAGGAGATGCCAGTTCATTTTGTGAACTGAACCAGCCCAATTCCGGGGCCATTTTCTGGACCGAACCTCAGCCCGGTTCACGAACCAGTTTGCTAACCGGTCCAGATAAAAAAAGCCCCCTGGGGGTCTCGAGACTCCAAATTCACAGGGTGCTCCAGCTCACTCTCCTTGACATGCCCACCAAGTTTGATCTCCATTGGATTTTGGGGGGCTGAGCTGCAGACACCTAAAAAAGGTTGCCTGAGACAATGCTTTTCAATGGGACATCACCCCCACTGTTTCAGGAGTGACAAAAACTGACCCAGGTGAGCTAGAGGCCTCCAACTCACACAGTTCCCCCCTGAGGTGACCCTCCACATGTTCCACAAGTTATGTGCATGTTGGGTTTGGGGGTTTGAGTAGTGGACCCCCAAGCAAGGTGCCCCCAAGAAACTGCTTTTGGGAGAGTTGTCCAGTGCCGGTTTCAGACAGTACAGAGCACACCTGGTTAAGCTACGGGCATTCAGCTCCCAGAGTACCTCCCCAGGGACCACCCATGTGGTTGCGGGTGCCTGTGTCTTTCTGGGGCCCAACCATCCAGCCCTTTTGACATGATGACTGGTTGGGGCCAAGCCTCCCACCCTGCCCAGGAAGGTGACAGGGACCTGGTGACTGAGACTCTGTATGGCTGTGGCAGGAGGCACTGGTGGACTAGCAGCCAGGATCTAAAATATCCCAAGGAGGGGGGTTTGGAAAGACTCTGTGAGGTGGAAAGACTCCCAAGCCCCACCATCTACAGCAACAATGTCCTCAATGAGGCCAGATGTGCATGAATGTTGTCAGGCTGGAGTCCAGCAGTCTTTTGGGGACTGTGGGTCAGACTCAAGCTGGAAGCTCACAGACCACAGACTTTAGGGGATGGGTGGCCATACAATTGCATTGAGGTGCACAGGTTTCATGGCCAACCGCATGCTATTTGACCCACAGCCCACCAACTCCTTAACAATGGAGGCCCAGGTAGCACCCACTGCCAAGGTGGCCTTCTACCATCTACGGCTGATTAAGCAGTTGGTTCCCTTCCTCGAACACAATGACCTAGCAACACTGATCCATGCAATGGTCACCTTGAGGTTAGACTACTGCAATGCTCTCTACATGGGGCTGCCCTTGTCTCAGATCCGGAAGCTGCAGCTAGTGCAGAATGCCGCAGCCAGGCTGTTGATGAGTCACTCTACACGGGACCATATCCAGCCTGTGCTGAGGACACTGCACTGCACTGGTTGCCTATAGTGTACTTGTTCGGTTCAAGGTGCTGGTTCTAACCTTTAAAGCCCTATATGGTCAGGGGCCTGCCTACTTGAGGGACCGCCTTTTCCCATACGTGTCCCAGAGAGCACTGTGGTCAGGGTCACAACATTGCCTGACTCTCCCTGGTCCGAAAGAAGCCAGGCTGACTATTACCAGAGCTAGGACTTTCTCAGTGGCGGCCCCACACTGGTGGAATGAGCTCCCAGAGGACATCAGGGCCCTGCGGGACCTTTTACAGTTTCACAGGGCCTGTAAAACAGAGCTCTTCCACCAGGCTTTCGATTAGGAGCCGCCACTGACGAATGTGTCCTAGAACATCTTCTGGCCTGGGACCCTGTTGGATGCTATTTCTACCATCGGGCTCATTTGGAATACCGCCATCATCTAACCCTGTTGGATGTTGTCTTTATCACTGGGTTGATTTGGAACACCGCCGTCATTAGCTTGTCTTTTTTATCTGTTAACTGATCTTGTTTACTTTTGTATTGTATTTTAATTCTTTTAACTCTGTATTGTTCTATGATATTTTAATCCTGTTAGCCGCCTTGAGCCAGTGTGTCCGGCAAGGTGGGACACAAATAGAAACAAATAAATAAAATAGCAATGTGAACCCTGGGGATACTGCCAACCTTCCCGCCCTGCCTGGGGCCTGGAGACCACCCGCACAGTGGCAGGTGGGATTCTCTCCCTGGGCCTACCCTCCACCCACCAGCAACATAACTGGGCAGGGCCAACTCTCCCATCCTGGCTGGGGCCCAAGGAACACCCACACAGGGTGGGGGTGCTCTCTCCACGGGCCCATCCACCCTGGAATGGCAATGTGATCACTGAGCAGGGCCAACTCTCCCACCCAGCCCAGGGCCCAGGAAGGTGGTGCTTTTAACCCAAGCCCACCCTCCACTTACAGGCAACATGATCATTGGGCAGGGCCAACCCTCTTACCCTGCCCAGGTCCTGGAGAACACCCATACACTTGCAGGTGACCTCCTTTCCTGTAGATCTCTCCAAGTATGGGTTGTAACAGTCCCTGACCAGGGCAACATGAGCTTCCAGCTTGGGAAGATTCAGTCCTGACTGGTGATCACTTTGCCATCAGGTGGGTGAGGAGACATGGACAGGCAGGTGGGGGGTTCAGCATACTGACCCCAGTGGACATGGCCGCCGTGAGACACCTCGTCTTGTTGGTCAGTGACCAGGACAACATGAGCTCCCAGCTTGGGAGGATTTGGTCCTGACCAGTGATCACTTTTGTTATGTAGTGGGGTTGAATCATTCCTGATTAAATCACCCCTGAGACTGGCTGAGCTTGGAGCATAAGAACAATAGACTGCCAGGATTCTGAAAGTAACCAATCTAGTAGTAATGTTATGTAAACAGCCTATCACTGGGAGTGGGGTGTGTTTGGGTGTGGCAATTGCAAGCTATTTAACAGAGCTGATGCTCAGGAGTCTTGTTTTGTGCTTGTTGAAATCACTAATAAACTAGAACTGATCATTAAGGTTGTGGTCTGTTCATCCATGGAACCCACTATTTAATAGCGACGACGAGGATGGGATCCTGTTGAGCCAGCCCAGAGCCCATCTGCACCACACCGCACATCAAGCTCCAGTGCCACGTGCATCGCATTGCAACTGGGACC